CTTTGGCAACGAGCCGAACGCGTGCATCAACTACCACCAAATTCCCACGGTCGTGTTTAGCCACCCGCCGATTGGCACGATTGGCTTGACCGAGCCGCAGGCCATTGCACAGTACGGCGCGCACAACGTGACGACGCATACGAGCTCGTTCTCCAACATGTTTTACGCCATGTGCCCCGAGAAGGAGAAGGTGCAAACTGCGATGAAGCTTGTGTGCATCGGTGTCGAAGAGACGGTCGTCGGCGTTCACGTCGCGGGCCTCGGCGCCGACGAGATGATCCAGGGCTTTGGCGTCGCGGTTAAGATGGGTGCGTACAAGTCGGACTTTGACAATATCGTGGCGATCCACCCGACGGCGTCGGAGGAGCTCGTGACGATGCCCGAGTGGGGCAAGATCAAGGACATTGTGACGTTGCCGCTTGGCACGGCGCGCAAGCCGCCGACGCTGATCAAGCCGCCGGCCAGCAACTAAGCTTCACATACCGTCATGCAACACTGCTTTTTTGTTGTCTTGCTTCTTCCTGTTGCCGCCTTGGATTGTCGACTAAGCTTTGTTGAAGCAAACTAAGAATTTAAAACGCAACAATGGAACACCCGTGTGAATCCGTCTCAAGTGTTGTGGTACGTAAAGTCGTTGTACCCATGAATGGAAAGGTTGTCCTAATTGTGATTTTGGTTTGCCAGCATACCGGTATGGAGCTCTGTGGACAGCATGGTGTAGATGTTTTCCACCCGCCAGTCAAAATACTATGCCCACGATAAAGCCAATGGATAGTGCTCGTACACAAAAGAACACTGGTCCACTACACTACTTTTGTCTGCCCACTCGGCACCCGTGACGGTACGCCTCCCCATGGTGCGTCGACTTCAACTTCAACGCGTCTTGGATCACCCAGCAACTCGACGCGCTGCGGAGTTCTACTTTGACATGCAAAGCCATCCAATGCATCGGTGAAAATGGCGAAGAAACTACTCCATGTGCCTTTACAATCGCATGTCATTTATCGCCCAAGTCGACAAATAAGAAGATTTCAAAAGCTCGATTTAATGCAGCATCACTGTGTAGACGACGCTTGACCGTGCTTTGATGATGTAAAGTCGTCCTAACCATCCGTGAAAAGGTTGTTGATGCTACGATTGCACCAAGTTTGCTATTTACATGTTAGCATGCAGCTCCGTTGCTTGCTACGGCGTAGATGTTTCCGACTCGATTCAATAATGCAATAAAGGTCGTCCACGCCCCCCGAGAAATTCTGGAGCTGCTCTATCGGGAGAAAGATCGGCGGTCCGTGCCACCACCTTTGTTTGTCGATCTCTTCGGCCTCCCCGTGCAGTGGCATAGCTTGGTACATCTTGGATCACCCAGCACGTAGGATACGTTCTTGCATTCTCCTGTGCAAAGTGCGTCCGAGCAATGGACATGGGTCTACTGTGTGAATATCTGCGTGCACTCGATGCGGCTGCGAGGCAAGCAATGTCAACCCGGCTGTCGCAAGAAACCGCTTTAAAGGGACAGACCGTGTGACGAGAGAGACTGCTGCGATACTACGGGAGGATCGACTAGGCCTTGGCCTTCTTGAGCTGCTGGATGCGCTCTTCGATGCGTGCTTGTTGGGCGGCTTGGACCTCCTGCATGGCCGTGCGCACGCGGGGCGCGGTATCAGCACGAGCTTGCGGCATCGACGGCGGTGGCGTGCTCGGTTCTTCTTCGTCCTTGTCGTCGTCCTCTTCGTCGTCGTCCTCGCTAT